TGGTGACATATCTCAATACACAAGTGCCCAGTATCCCCATTCAACCACACCGAGCGGGGCTGGGGGAACCCTGACCCCAGGTGGTGTCCACTCCTCAGGTATGGCTGGCCAGTTTCATCCTGCAGGGATCGCCGCTGGGCCCTCTCCTGGGAAAGAGGGACAACTCAACTTTCAGTTCCCTGTGGAGAAACTAGGATTTGGATAAAGGTTTGGTCAATATTTGTTACTGTATAGAGAGTGGGGGATCATCAAGATGGAGACTGAGGAAAAGGGGGATGCTAAGAGAAGAGAAATAAATGTGGTGGTAGTTGCCTCAACGGAATGGGATTATGGGTGATTTTTTTTTTTCTCTTCTCTCATAAACTTTCCTAAACTCTCCAACTGTTTTGTAAAATGATTATGGCGGGAGGATATAGCTCAGTGGTAGAGGGCATGCATGAGGTCCTGGGTTCAATCCCCAGTACCTCCACTAAAATAAAGAAGTAAATAAAGAAACCTAATTACCACCCCCTAAAAAGAAATAATTTTTTTAAAAATAAAATGATCAGATGTTACTTTTTCAACCAAGTGGGGGGGGTGGTCCATGTAGTGCAACCTCCACCTCACCCCCAAAAAAGCAATGTATTGATTGTCCAGCCCCACCCATTTCTCCTGTGTCCCTGCCACTCGCCAGACACAAGAATCAACTGTCCCCACAGGGGGAAAGAAAGCAGACCTGTTAACGCACATTCTGCAGGTCATGGAAAGCTGAGCCTAGCTTCCTGCCTTGAGCCTCCAAAGGCTGAGAAGCCAGGAGGCTGAGCAAAGGGGAGTGGTCAGTTTTCTCTTCAGCTTGGCCAAGGAAGTTGCTGGAAATTGGGGCAGTCTGTGCCTCTCAGACCTCCACCAGATCCAACCGTGTCCCAGGAGGGAGCTTCGTAGTGTCGCTTACAGGAACACCAACCCGGATGACCTGTCCCAGACACAATGCTCTTTCTCTTCACAGGGGTCACAGGGCCAGAGGCTCCAGGCTATCTGCCCCTCACATCCAGGTCTCTCCTTCCAAAAGACACAAGACTGAGAGTTTCTCCCCAGGGACCCCAACAGATTTCAGACTTGCCCCCAAAGGTAGTGGATTTCTGCCTGCCCTCTCTCCCGAGTCAGGCTGGCCCTCCCCCAGGTCACAGGGATGGGGCCCTGCTCCATCCTCTTCAGAGAAAAGCTGGCTCTGAGCCTCCATCAGCATCTCTCTCCTACTCTTCAACATCTCCTCTCTCACAGGCAGTAAGTCCTTCCTCCAGTCTAGCCTCCACTCCTTCCAAAACAGTCCCAATTGCTCTTGTGTCCTGTCCTCAGGGTTGTTGGAAAACCACAAACCCGTCACCCTCTTCAGAGCCATCAGCCAGGACTGAGTTATTCGAGCTATTCTGTCACAGCAAGTCCCCTCAGCCTTCTCGAGGATCAATAATCCCCATGCTGGGGTCCCCTCCTTACCCTCAGGGGATCCAGAAGCCCAGTGCTGATAGGCTCTGTACCCAGACTGATACACACAGAGGCCCATGCTGGTGTCAGGTGCCCAGTTGGCAGACGTACCAGAGCCAGGCAGGTCTGAGAGGACAGTGACACCAGCCCCTCCCTTGAGGACCAAGGCTCTGCTTACCCCACCCCCATCACCAGAAAGGCTCTCTCAGCAGAAAGAAACCTACTCCCAGCCCTCAGGGCTCCCAGCCCCAAAGCAGAGGGTTGCCAGTTCCCCGCCCAAGAGCAGCCTGGCAGCCTTGACTGGTAGAGTCCTGTAGGGCAGTGGCCCAGGCCTAAATCTGACTTTCATTTCTCTCCACACCCCAGGGAACAGGACCCCCCCCCTTTATCTTGGCACAGCCCCAAGCCCCCAACAAATCAGACAACTCCCACTTCCTATGCAGGGACAAGCCCAGAACAGTCCATGGTTCTGCCCAGCTCAAGCCAGGCGAAGACAACAGCTTTGACTTCTGCCCTCCTCTCCCAGCCACAACCTCCTCCACACATCCGCCACAGCCCCTGGCCCTGGGGACACAGCCCCCTCCACCAAGAACCAAAAACCAAGGCATGGGGGAGGTTTCAGAGGGCTGGAGGCTGGGATATGAGTCACCCCCACCTGACAAACCTGCCCCCACCATCACCACCCACACACACCATCCTGGGCCCTTTTGAATTATCTTCTCCCCAAATTCCCAAGCAGAGACTGTCAAAAAGGGATGGCAGAAATTCTTCCCAGAGCCACAGTAGGGTGGTATAGCAGGTCAGACTCTGGGCTTGGAGCCAAAAGACCCAAACGCCAGCCTTGGCCCTCCTTGGGTCTTGCTGTGCAACCTTGGGCAAGTGACTTAACTTCCCTGAGTTTCAATTTCCTCACCTGTGGAATGAGGTAATGATACTCGAGGGGTGGTCATAAGCGAGGGATGGTCATAAGGATTAAGCGAGAACAGTTAATGAAAGTGCATGGAATCTGAAAAGCCATCCCTTGCTTTTTAAGTTACCATTTATTTGATATCATTATTCCCATTTTGCCAAGGAGGTACTGAGGCTCAGAGAGGTAAGGTGACTTGACCAAGGCCACACAGATAATGAGTGACAGAGCTAAGAATCAAACCTAGCTCAGTCCAAGCCTAAATCCCATCTCTCCAAATAAACAGCCCTTCTGTGTATGAGTCAATTGCCCCATTTCATTCTAAGGTAGCTCTTCTTCCCAATCCCTCCCAGTCTCTGAGGAGAGACCCTCCCTACCCCCCAACCCCGCGGCAAGCAATGGTACCTGCCCCATAGTTACCTCCTTCGTTCCCATGAGCTGCAATCCTCAAAGCCTCAGCCCTGGCAGCCCAAACAGAGGTTCCAGAGGGAATAGGGTGTAACTGGGGCTCGGGGTGGGGCGGGGTGGAGGGTGCTAATGTCACCCAAGCTGGGGCCTGATCTATTAAGAAATGACTAATTGGATCATACCTTTTTTTCTCCCTCCAGTCCAGTAAGTAGCCAGTTTGCACCTCCTAGCAACCTTCTGGGTATTATCTTTTCATTGCCACAAACCAGATTAGTTAAACGAATCATTTAACCAGAGTAATTACAATGCCTTCCCCTCCTCCACTTTGGCAGAGAAGAGGGAAAACAGGTTATTTCACCCAAATTCCATGCCCTTGTGACTCCCCAGAGGTACGTACCACCCACCAGAGCAGAAGAGGGATAAGGTTCCATCCTGACTCTCCCCTGACCCAGGGCGGAGCCTGACTCCAGCCCAGGACACTCCTTGTGGATGGTCTGCCCTCTGCCCCACTCTCCAATCTACAGCCACAGTGGAGTTGTAGGGCGGTGGGGTCTTCCCAAGTGACTCAGGGCAAGCAACCTGATTCCCCCAATCTTGCCCTCACCCCAGGAATGAGGGAGCACCTGGCTCTTACATTCCCCTCTTCTCCCCAAAGAGGCCAGAGAAGGGGCTCTTAGGAAATTGGAGGGTCGGGCAAAGGGCTAACACAGTTTTGCCTGAAACCTTCCCCCCCAGAAGCCTTCCTTCTGTCCCACTTTCCCCATCAGGAAAGGGGGTGGGAAAGGAAAGGACTGCAGAAGGCTCCAGAAGGAATGCACCTTCAAAACCCAGAAATCAAATGGAAATCCAGCCCCGTCGCTCCAACTCTTCAGCCTCAATTACTAGGCAACTAAATAATGCGGGGGATGGGACGGGGAAAAAAAAAAAGACCAGAACAATCGCTCCCCCCCCTCAGTCAGTTTGGCCGAGCCCTGCCCCACCCCCATTCCTGGGGAGGGGGGCAGAACTCGGGAGAGCGCCTCTAAGGCAGGCCTCCTGCGAGGGGGTGTGGTGGTCCCCGGAGGCAGGAAGAGAAGGAAGAAGCTGCTTCCCCTTTGGCCCATCCCCCAGACCCCTGCCCCCACCTCAGGCCCCAGGGGCCCGACAAACAGGATGGAGGTGGGGGCGGGGAGGACGGGGTCAGAGCGCCGGCTCTGAACCAGGTTCAGCGTGGTCGGCTAGGGGAAGGGGCTCTGCCCCAAGAAGGACCCCGTCAACCTGGGAGAAGCGCAGGGCAAGGAGGCAGGAAAACCCCCAGAGAAAGCTGCCGTGAGTACTTCCTCCTGGAAAGTTTGTTTTGGGTGATTTTTTCCGCCAAGAAGAGGTTAGAGAGGATGAGTAGTCCTGTTCCCATATCAACACTCTGAAAGCCGCAGCTACTGGAAGCAGGGCGGGCGACCCCTCCGCCCAGACCCCAGTCCGAGCCACGGGTGCCAGCCACCGGCTGGTTGGCGGAGCGGAGCCCTACACCAATCCCACTTCCATCCCATTCCGCCTCTGCTGGCCCAGCCGTAGCCCGGCACCCACCGGAGCGGAGCGGAGGGAGGCGCCGCAGGTACTGTCCCGACCCGGCTCTGAGAACTGGAGGACAGAGCCTCTACACTCCGTCTGCTCACCTGCTCGGCAGGTGGGGCCCGCGTCGCTGGGAAAATGTGCTCTCAGCCCCCACAGTTGGGCAAGCCGGGCGCAGACAATAGGGCCCCACCCAGGCCCCGGGGAGTAGAGAGGGAGGGAAAGCGAGGATGACGCGTGAGGTGGGGTGAGGGTGGCCCCGAAGAGACCAGCGGCAGCAAGTTTCCCAAACAGTAAATTCCTGACTTCAGAGTGAGCCCCGGAACTCAGGCGTAGCAGGTTAAATGTCTTCCCTGCAAGAGTCAGGGCCAGAGTCAGGGACTCGGCGTCAGGCGAGCTTCGCCTCCCTGGGGGAGGCGCGACCCCGGAGGCACCTGCCTTGACCCCTCCCGGCCCTTTTCAGACTCGGGCTCTTCGGGCCCCCAAGTGCGCTCTGCTCGAACCTCGCGCCCCCTTACTAGCCGCGCCCAGGACCCCAGCGCGCCCCCTACAGCCGGTGCAGTATGGCGCTCCCTGATTCCCTCCCTCACCTGCCCGGAGACGCGGGTATGGGCCTCTCCGCCACTCGCCAGCCTTCCCTCGCCCCAGCGATACCTGCCCCGATCGTCCGCACCTGCGTGTGGAGCCTGGCCGGGCTGGGTAGGGGTCGGGCCGGGATGGGAGCCGGCGCGGGCTGCAAACTGAGCTCGGCGCGCTCGGGCGGCGGCTGCTCCGGACTCTGGCCAAGGCAGCAACTCAGTAACCGAACAAAAGGCGAAGGGACCTGACAGCCAAGCCACGCCTCTCGCCCCTCGAAGCTCCGCCCCCAAGGGAGACGCCCACCCAGTGATGTGGGCTCACTGGCTGCCTCGCCTGACTGTTGCATCGAGGGGCGGAGCCTCGTGCACAGACCTCTCTCACCGACGCCTCTGTTTATCCGCTGGCCATTGGCCCCAGGGAATGCCACTCGGCCCTGGGGACGGTCTCCAACTTGATATTCCTCCTAATTCCGCACCTATTGGCAGATAGAAGGTTACTTCCTCCTGGTTGGACAAAGAACTGTCAGTAAGACTAAGAAAAGAACCAGTGGAAAGGATGGGGTGTGTCTTGCCCCACCCTACCTCCAAGCAGGTGAGACTGATGACTCTCCCCACTACCTGTCCAACAGGTGAGTCAGGGGGCGCCATGGGAAAGAGCAGACGCCTTCACTGGCCAGCCAACTTAGCGTCAGGCATGTTGCTTCTTTGGGCTTATTCACCCTTGCTGCAAAGTGGTAATAACATATTTGTATAGCATTTCATAGGCATTTTTCTGGATTGGACTTTTTTTTTCACCAAAGATGGAGTGATCATGAGATTTAGAATTAGAAGGCTTGGATTTGGCTTCTGCTGTTTAGTAGCTATATGATCTTAGGCAAGTTACTTGTCTTTCACCCTGTTTCTCCACATCTGTAAAATGGGTACATTAACTCTCATGGGGGTGAAGGAAGATTTGTGAAATCACTTGGACAACTGCTAAATGTTAGAATTTAAATTAATGATATGAGGTTTTTTTTTAATTCTCATGACAGTTCTGGAACACTATTAGGGCAACAAAATGATCCTCCTTTCAAAGATGAGGAAACAGCTTCAGAGAGGTCACAAAACTATAAAATGGCATATCTTAAACCAGAACCCCTTTCTCTTATAATTTCAAGGCCCACCAAACTTCATGTTCTCCTGGTGGAATAACAGCACAGACACAAAATGTCAAAGCAGTGGGGAGGGGCTGGAGACAAGGTGAAAACAAATATTCTGGGGAGAGACAGAAGAGAAATGATTTGTGACAGAGAAAGTATTGGTGGGACAAAAATCAGGCAGCAGATCTAAAGGAAATCAACACTGGCATAAAAGAAGCGGGGCAGCGGGCCCCTCAGTAGTGGAAGATACTGGGGGAGTAATCAGAAAGAGCTTCCCAATAGACGAGGATCCTTCCTTTCTGTGGTTGATGAAATGAATGTCTGCTGGTGGCTGTACAGCGTGCTAAGGGTCTTACAGATATTCATTCATCAACACATAAGTATTGAGCACCAGCTGTATGCTAGGTACTGGACTAGACACTGGTGACACAGAAAATCAAAATGACTCCAACCCTCCAAGGGCTTCCAGAGAGCCAAGTGTAAATACGTCATCTTAGTCACTCTGGGTGCATCGGTATCAGACAGGTGGTTGTTCTGGAAAGGGTCCCTCCTTAAAAAAGCTTTATATTCCCAAAGCTAGCATGCAAGATGCACTGGGGGAAGGTACATCAGCAGCATTCTTGACTGTCTCCACCAGAGAAAGGAATGATGGTGAGAGTCTTACTTCTGAGGCTTGTGCCATCCAAGAAGGGGCCAGGGAGACATCAACATCCCTGATCAGTTACCATCCACACGCCAGGGCCACTGCCCTTTGTTTTGTTTCCCTTACTCCCCGTCTTCCAGTTTATCTCAGCATCTTTCTCCCCACCTTATCCCTGCTCCACCCACCCACTTGCCACCCTGCCATGTAGTCCCCAGCTTGGGAGGAAAAGAGCTCCCAGTCCTAGGCTCCTGCCTCTACCAGGGCTTCACTTCCTTCCTCTCCCACCTCCCATCTTCCCGTGCCCACTTCACACACCCTGCACAAACACAACACACAGACACACACCCACTTCCCAGGCTTAAGCCTGGCTTAACCCCTTCCTTTCTCCTGACTTCATCATACAGGCAGCAGGGCTAGTTGACTGCAGAGGAGTGGAAGAGCGTGGCCGGGCTGGAGGGGCAGAAATAAGGCTTCAGAATAAAGTCTGTGTATCTGTGTGTTTCTGTGTCTCCCCAGAATGCGCCCTGAATGTCAGTCTGGAACATGCCGTAACAAGCTGGCCCCACAGCTCAGCGCTCAGGCTGGGACTGGGTGGAGGCACTGCCACAGCAGCAGGAATAACTGGGCTAAGAGCTGTGCCTCCCAGACCAAGGGGTTCTCTGCACATTTATTAAGCACCTACTAGTGCCTGGTAGTCACTGAGTATTCATTCATCTGTAGGATACAGAAAAGAATCAGAAAGTGATGTTTACTAGAATCAGCTGTCTGTATAGGGGATGCGGTCTCATGGGGCAAGGAGGTGCCGGGGAGAGGAATGAGAGTCTCTGTGGCCACAGTCTTCTCTGTAGCTTGAACCTGAAGGAAAAGGCCACAGGACCATCTTACCCAGTCCCCTGCCTCCAAGCCTTTAAAGGCAGGGATTTCTCTGTTTGACAGATCTCCAGGAAAAGAGATTCTCCAGCCTCCCTTATATGAATACCCTTGTCTCCTTATTCTAACACTGGTAAATTCCTTCTGGGGTCTAGCCTCAATTCACATCCCTGTGGTTTAAACTCATTTCTCTTGCCTGGAGCTCTGTGGAAACAGACTCCTTGGGCCCCCAAGAACACATATGGTTAATTCAACCTTGCAGCTTTCTAGGGCCCCTGAGTAAAGAAGGAAAGGGCACCCAAGTCATCCCAGAGACAGGAGCTACTGGCAAGGAGAGGTCCAATGAGGGGAGCTGGTGGGAGGGTGGGGAGGTGCTTCCTGGGTAAGGTGAACAGGCAGCCAGTCTGCCCTCCTCCGCTCACCTCCCTTCCTCTCATCCTCCATGAGTCCTCTGGGCCATATAAGGAGGTGCAAGAGTTTCTGCTGTGTGTTCACAACCAGCCCTTTCTCTGTGGGGTCTCCTTTCCCAGACAGAGGCAGGCAGACATACTGATCTGCACACACTATATGCACGCACACACCCCTTACGGATATACTCAGGGACACAGATCCAGATATGCAAAGGCCGGCCTTGTCAATGCTCTCTCCCCATCAGACTCAGATACACACACACACACCCTTCTTCCCTCCTCTGCAGCCTAAGGGGGGATGGCCACCTCCATGTGGGGAGACCTGATGAACAGATGCGATGCTAAACTTCAGGCTGATGCTGGTCCCTTTTCAGCACACAGCCGCTCTCCCCTGGCGTCACAGCAGCGGGGAAGGAGCACAAACAAGCCATTCCCAGTGGCAGACGGGGCAGAGCCAGCCTTAGACTCGGAGAGGGGGCCTCTGTACCGGGTCCCTGCCCTTAAGAAGGCCCCTGCTCTAGTCGTCCCGGGGACGTGCCCGGCACCGACCCTGCTTCTGGGGCCTGGTGGGGGGGTCTCTTACTTGGGCTCTTCCTCCTGTTCGGACAGCAGCAACGCTTGGTGTGCACACACTCAGGCAAAGAGGTGATGAGGAGCAGTTGTGGTAAAGGGACGCACACGACAGGGACACACGAGCTGGGGTGCCTACACGCATGCTGGAGGCCCTTTGTGGTGTGGGGGGAGCCAGGGGTGTGAAGGGGATGGCCCAGGGGCTGGAGGCCAGGGAGCAGTTTTCCCCGAGGCTGCCACTTTCTGAGGAGTCAGAATTCTCAATTCCATCTGTCCTTTCGGGTCCCTGTGGAGGTATACTGGTCCGGTGTCTTACTTAACAGTTAGCTTGACTCGTAACTTGTTTAGATCTCTGTCCATGGGACTCCTTTCGCACCGCTGCCCCTGCCCACTGGTGCTTGGGTGGGGGGACTTGCTCAGGGGGTTCCTTTCAGGCCTGGGGAGAGGATATTGGTGGCAGAAGTGCCTCCCAAGGGCTTCTGGCTGGAGTGGGCCCTGGCATCAGCGGGAGCAGGAGCAGAGCAGGACGGTGCAGGCCCCGGACAGGAAGGTGGGGGTGCTCTTGCCATTTTTTGCCACCCTTTGTCCAGGGGAGGAGCCTCAACACCAGAGGTTGCCCACGGCCTGGTCCTGTGGGTGTGTGCCCGGCCAGCCTGGGGAGGGCTCTTAATTACAGAGGCAGCTCCAGCCACACTTCACTGCAAGGCGTGTGGGCGGGGATGGAATGTCAAAGGGAAAACAGGGAGACAAGAAAACAGAGATAGAATGGGCCAGAAATAGCACGGGCCAGGGCGAGATACCAGGGGCCCGTGGTGGTGGATGGGGAGGTGGAGGAGGGTCAGGACCTCCCCAGAGAATGTCTATTCCCGGCTCACCCCCCCTTATCTGCACCCAGCCCCCCAGGGTTCCATCTCAGAGCTTCAGGAGCCCATCAGGGTGGGCCCCAAGCATCACGATTCTTGTATTCTGGAGCTGGGTCTCCGAGCAACCCCTGCCCTGCCCTGCCCTGCCCTGAATGGCTTGAGGGGATGGCAAGGCTCTGCCACTTGAGTCACCTCGCTTCCTGCTCCTGGCCTGGGTGACTCCACCCACTGGCTGACACAACTGGGGCCCCACCCGCCCTCCAGCCTGCCTGCCCCTCCCTCCG